AATATTCTAAGCAAAAACTTTCCTTTTGCACCTGAAAAGAAAATCAAACAATTAAAAGTTTTCTTTCTTTGAAGGCTCTTTTGTAAACTTTACCAGTTTTCTTCAATTTGCGGTCGTTAAAGTTGCTTTTCAAGTTTTTTGTTGCAAATCTTTTGAATTCTAAATTTTTATAAAAGAAAAAAGAAGATAAAAATTAGTGAATTTATAAATTAATTTTCATTTGTATGCTTAATAATCCTTAATAATTCTAAGTTGGAAATATAAAATTTGCAATAAAAAATGTGCTGAGTGAAATTTTCATATCTTTAAATCTTACATTTTATTGTTAGTTATTCCATTTATATTTTTGACGACCATGTATGACGTCATGATTATGAATACAATTATTTTTTCCTGCATAAACTTCATTAGTTTCAAGGTCTTGTAAAACGCGAGCAGAACATTTTAAAGAAGTCTTCTTCGCACAAGCCCATGAAGCTTTTTTTCCCCAAATTCTATCACGTTGAAATCTGTGTCCATTTACTATAAGACAAAGATTGTTCTTTTGATTCATCGTAAATTCAACAATCATGGGCTTAACATCTGAAACAAGGCAATGAAAAATATTAAATTTCTTTTAATTTTATAAACAATTCTTCAAAAATAAATTCACATTTTAGTGAAGCTGAGAATTTAATCAAAATATGAATCGTTACTTGACGATGCTTTATTCATTCTTATATTAAATTTTTCTCTGACGATTCTGATTGATGACCATGACTGGGTGATTATGAACATAATTATTTCTTCCTACATAAATCTCATTTGTGTCGAGATTTTGAGTGACATGCACAGGACATTTTAAATTATGTCGTTTCGCACAAGCCCAGGAAACTTTCCTTCCCCGGATTTTTCCACGATAAAACTTATGTCCATTAATTATGGGACAAAGATTGTTGTGTGCAGTTATCGTCCACTCAACAATCATCGGATTAATTGGATTCTTTTCAGATGAAACTAAAAAAGAAAAGAATAATTAGAAAGATTTAAGTAAATTTTGTTAAGTTAGATGAATCATTCTGGAAGAGACGTCTTAAAGCTATAATTTGATTGAAAATTCCTTCACATCACGAAAGTTTTTTTGAAATTTTCTTCTTTTAAATTCTAAAGAATAAATGAAAATGAAGTAAAATTGTTTTTAATCATAAAATTAGATTTTAATTCCTCCTTTAACTATTCTCCATCAAGTCCAATGAGGTCAGTGACGCCTGACTTGTGATTATGTCCACCAAAGAGTGTAGCTTTGTTGTCAACTACATGAATACGAGCTCGACATTTCTTTGTGAATTGACTGCACCGATAGCAGGTGTAGTCTCCTTGTTTACTACATTGAACAAACTTGAAATTGTTGAAATACAAACATTTGCCACCTCGATTAGTTCGAACATATTGAATGAGATTTGTTACATCAACTTCTTCAGTTTGATAATAACTATTGACTGGTAAGTGATTGTGGTTTGATAAAAAGTTGCAAATATTCTTATGATCGATGAATTTTAATCTTGATGGGCATCTGAGGATGAGAAAATGTTGTTAAAAATTTAAATTAAATAAGAAAACTTAATTCACTTCAATATTTTATGTTGAGTACATCTAAAGTGGCAAATCCCATTCCTTGGATTCTTCTTGTGTAAAACGTATTTGTGATCCATGTAAATGATGAAATGCCCGCCTTTTCCCGTTGGCTTGATCTCAATGTCGTCGTAAATGTTTGCAGATCCTAAAAAGATTTAAACTTTGTTAGTGTTTATCAACATTCAATCATCATCATCAACATTAATTTTGATCACAATTTAATTCAATTTTCATCAAATTTAACTTTATTTACGATTTAAAATTATTTATTTGCAGGATGATTGTGAAAAGGATTGGAAGGATAAGTAAATTTCTCTTTAATAACAATCGAAGCTGGACATTTGAGTTTTTCGAACAAATCACAACGATAACGTGCAACACAATTTCTAGTAAAATGATGAACAAATAAAAAGTTTTCATATTGAACTTTCATAGCGCCGAAAGTTGTCGGTACGTAAATTGTTTTAGTGCCTTTTTGTTTGAGAACTTCTTCGATTGGCTTCTGTTTTGACGGCTTTTGTTGTGACTTTCGTGACGATTTTCTATTATAAATTATTTCTGTGAAAGATAAAAAGAAAGAAAAAGTTAGAATCAAATTTTGTTGGCAACTCAGAATAACAAAAATGATCAAAAAAAAAGAAAATCAAAAACTAAAAGAAAACTTTTATTAAATTTTCCAACTAACTTTAACTTATTTTGATTCGCTATCAGATATTGATTCAATAATACATTTCTTGGCTTCTGAGCTGAAGGCTTCGGGTGGGTGATTGTGATAAACGTTCTTTGAAACTTCTAATCGTCCATTAGCACTGGTTATAAGACGAGCTTTGCAATTACGACTTCGTTGTTTGGCGCACACCCAATACTTCCGATCATTACACAATTTCGCACAAATGTAACTGAAACCGTCGTAAAGAATTTTAGGATTTCCACGTTGACCTGTGATGAAAGTATATTCGAGCTTTTCACTTTCTTTCGGTGGCAGAACAGCCCAGAAAACTTCTTTTCGTGTTCGACCTAAAATTATTGATAAATGAATTAGTTTCGATGAAGATTACAAACTTTTCCCGTCATCTTTTAATTCAACAGATATCAAGAATTGTTTTGGTAAATTCATTTGATTTAGACTTTATTTTCCATTTCTTTATTCATCACTTGACGTCACTGTCACCAGCAACATCAGGTTCATGATTATGCTCGGAATGTGTTAAAATAAATTTGTTCATTTGAGTATTCGTTACAGCTCTTGCTTTGCACTTTGTTGCTCGCTTTTTCCCGCAACGCCAATAAATGTTCGCATCATTTCCTTTATTACGAACATAAGAATATCCGTCGATAACCAATTTTGGATTTCCTCGTTGACCTGACACAAATCTCAATTTTGTGCAAATTGGCAAACTTTCCATTTTTGATCGACGACTTCTTTGAAACAGATTCTCATCTTCTCCGACCTCGACATAATCTGAAGATTAAATTGAAAAAGATTATTAATGTTGTTAATTGGTAAATTATTTCTTCCATTTAACTTTTTTTAAATTATTGAAAAGAATTTTCATTATCTAAATTTTTTATTCATTTCAATCAAGAGTTGTGATTATTTTCTGAAAATATCAGAAGAAATATTTAAAACTTAACATTAATTTATGTTGCTGCATAACAAAAATATTAAAATATCCATAAAAGTTCATTTTGAAACTTCTGTAAAGAAGCCAATAAACATTTGAAGTTCTATTTGTCCTAGAAGGGTTAAATGATGATTTAAAGTATTGAGAAAGCGACACTTTGATGTTCTTTTCGTAGATATTTCGTCTTGTTAATTTGTTAAACTTATCTAAAGCTGGCAATTCTCATTTCGACGATTTCAATCTTTTTTTGTTTTATCTTTTCTAATTTCAACATCATCAGGTTCATGATTGTGTTGAAGCTTTCTTGTTTTTAGCACTTCCATGTTCGGTGATGTGATAATGCGAGAAATGCATTTGAGCTGGCGATTGCGTGAACAAAGCCTGAAAATTTTAAATTGTTGATGATTTCAAAAGATTTTCTTTTACTTCTTAAATAATAAACTTACCAATAAACACGATCTTTGGTCTTGCAATTCCGATAATATGAATAACCTTCGTAAAGCATTTTCGGCTTACCCTTTGACGTTTGTACAATTTTTAATATGGTGCTGTCTAAAATGATAAGAAAAAATATTAGACAAAATGCTTTCAATAAAAAAAAGAAATTTTAATCCTAATGAATCGAAAAAGTTGTAAATTTTCAATAATTTGACTTTATTTGTTTAGCGATAATTAAATAATATTTGAATTGATTTCTCTGAGTCGTACATGTTGGGATGTGAATGTTCCGCAAAACATTTAACCAAAAATTCTGAATTTTCATCAGATTCTGTTAGAATGCGAGCTTTACAACTGGATTTATAATACAAAGCACATTTCCACAGACGCTTTCCGGAAGTTTTCTTGTCATTTGGAGTGAAAGTGTTGCCATTAAAGTAAACATGCTTTGTTCCACGTTTTGACAGAACATACCGAAGACGTTGGAAATATGAACCTTAAAAAAAGAAGAAAATAATATTAGTTAAATTATTTTCAGTTTTGTTAATTCTGTCTTCGAATAATTTTTAAAATTTGATTTAATTAAGTTAAAAAGAAGTTTTATTTATAACATCTCGAGATTTAAAATTTCTTTTCTTCTTTTAACGGCGTAATGTTGGACTCAGAAGGATGTGTATGATCTGGTCGTGATAGTTTGATGTACTCATAGCCTTTAATGACTTTGGTAACTGCTCGAGCACGACAGCCCAGCTGCTTGTATTTTGTGCATTTCCAACTGATTATTCGATCACTCAATTTTCTGTTAACAGTAAAAGAAAATCCTTCATGAACGAGTTTGCGACCACCACGATTTGTCATCATGAATTGTGCTTCTTGCATGTCTTCTCTATGATAAATACCAAAAATATCTGAAAAGAAATGAAAGAAGATTTGTTAGTTAAAATTCATTTTCAATTTGAAAAGTCAAACTTATTCCTAGAAAAATTGATTAAATGAAATTAATTAAGAAATAAATTGTTTTGTAGAAATATTTATTGTGTAAGGCGGAAATATGCAAGTTTCTCAAACAATCTCTAAATTCTCAGTCAATTCTGATGATCTTAAGTCATAAGTTGAAGAGTCAAGAGGAGGATGAGGAAAATTTAAAAATTCCTTTGTTAGCACTCTGCGAACAAGTTTCTGTCGTCGAATACTGCGTTGGTGATCTCGATTATGTGTATGTGTTGCAATGCTCAGCACAGCTTCATCAGGTCTTGCAAAATTTGTTCTTGCTCTTGCTCTGCATTTGAAGCTTCTATACAGAGTGCATCTCCAGCTCATGGTGTTGCGACTGACAGTGTTCCTCAAGAAAAAGAATCCATTAACACAAAGATAATTTCCTCGATCTGTTTGGAAATATTCAGCTGGATAAACTTTTCCATCCGTTTCTTCCACCAACTCTTCCAGATGATATTCTGCATTGAAAATTAAAAAGGAAAGAAAGAAATATTAGTAAATTGATTTTTATATCAATTAGGTTCTTTAATTGAATAAAATGTTGTGCAAATTTAGAAAATATTTTAAACTATTTTATTATTTCAGAAAAATTGCAAATAATTTGAATTGAATATTTTTTATAGAAATTCACTCGATATCAGAATTTGCAGTTTTCTCAATTTTAAATTGAGCTTTTGGTTCTTTAGCTGATTCGGCAAAAGTGTGATGCTGATAAGAATTTTTGCTGTGATTATGATCAGCGCCTTTGAATCGAATGCTGTAAGGATCAAGCTTATCAGCTATTACACGATGCTTGCACTTTAGTTTATTGTTTAGAGTACAAATCCAATAAACCGAGTTCAGGGTTTCGTAATGTCGTTTGTACATGTAGCCTTCGATCTTCAATCCTTTGTTTCCACGCCCAGTTTTAAAGTACTCAATCGGTACTCCATCTATAAATAAAATGTGATAGAGAAAAATAAATATTAGTAAAATATATAATAATTTAATTAATTCATCTATTTTAGAGAATAAAATTAATTTAGAAAATGGAAAATCGTCAAATTTATTTTTCATCTATTAACGAATTAAGAAAAATTAGTAAGAAATTTTAAAATATGATTACAATTTAATTATCTAAGAAATTAGAAAAGAGAAATTTTTTTTTTATTATTTTTACAAGAATGGATTAGAAGCAATTTATTCGACGTGAACTTCTTCCACTTTATATTCATCTGACATGTCAATTTTAACAAGAGAACTTTTTCCTTCTTTCGGAATTTTCCTATAATCGTCGAGAGTGTGATTGTGAGTACCGCATTTGATTGTAACAGACGTTGGGTCGTTAACTTTTGAGATTGCTCGAGCCCGACAACGCAAACGACGGCAAAGTGTACACTGCCAATAAATTATTTGACTTGTTGCGTAATGACGTTTAAAGACATAATCGTTGATGAGAAGGCCTTGATTACCCAATCCGGTGTCGAAATAGGAAATTACATATTCTGGGAAGAAAAAAAAAATTCATTAGTTTGATTTTTAAGAAAAATTTGCTAAAATATTAAAATATAATTTAAGATTAACAATTAATCAAACAAAGACTTTTTCTTAACATTTATTTCTTAAGACATTTCTCTTGATTTTTCTTAGGTTTTGTGAATTTAACAGGCAACATTAATTCATGACATTGTAGAATTTCTTCATTTGAGATGAAGTTGCGAGGTTTTACGACGATTTCATGATTGTGAAGATTCCTTGTCAATCGAATAACGAAAGGATTTCCTAAATAAGTAATGCCACGAGCTCTGCAGCCTTGTTTGCCTCTGTACATGCAATGCCAACTGATAGATCGTTCACCTTCTCTTTCCTTACAAAAAGGATGTCCTTGGCAGACGATTGCTTTTGACCCAACTGTCGTCTCATAATATTGCACTTTCACGTATTCTACGAAAATTAATAAAAAGAAAATATTAGTTGGATCTATTAATTTCTTGTTACTAAAGCAATAATCGAATAACATTTTTATTTTGTTAACTACTTTATTTTTTTTAGAGATTATGATCAACACAAAATAATTAAAAATTAGAAATATTTACTTTACGATTCAGGTTTAAAATTGTCTGGTCATGATGATGATGATGCGTGCTTTAAATTTAAATAATGTCATGAAACATTTCTGATGATTTAGTGCAATCTTAAACGATTTCATCAGTGCGTGCAATAAGAAGTTATTTCCATGTTTTGTGAACCTTTTTCCCATAGTGCTTTTTAATTATTGAATTTTTTTAGTACTCAGAAGAATTCAAACCTTCATGATGCAGGTCTTTGTTCCTGGAAAAAGTTTTTCCTTTGTTTCTTAATTCTTCCGGAACAGAGAAAAGGAACAAAGGAATAACTTGGCCTGGGAACAAACCCCTGCCTACATCAAAAAGAAAATCATCTCAAGTCACATTAATCAATCCATTAGACTAATCATTAATTAATCTCTTAATATTTTAATCTCGCCAAACAGGAATTGTCAGTTTTTGTTGTTTCTTAAAATTACTTTTACGTTTAAAATATGTCATTAATTCTTCACACTCCAATATTTTGTAATTTGGAATAAGTTTTTGTGCACCACGTGGTGGATTTACAAGCGTATGATTATGATCTTTTTGACTTAAACGCATCACAAATGGACTTCCATAACGCGTTTGACCTCGAGCTTTACATCCCTTTTTTCCTTTGTACATGCAACGCCAAGATATTCCGGAACTGTTTGATTTCTCTTTGGCAAATGGATAATTATCACAAATTATTGCTTTGCTTCCAACTGCCGTCTCATAATACTTCACCGTCGCATATTCTGGAAGAGAAAGAAACAAAATATATTAGAGAAAATATTAAAGAGTTTTTGCTAATTATTAGGTAATTAAAACTTTAGTTGGATGAATTACTTTTGATAATTTCTTTTAATATTTTTTGTCTGTTGACATACAACAAAATTTTTATCGTCTTTGGCCGGGAATATTTTTATATGTAAAATCTTTGCATTTTATTATTTCATGATTTGAAATCATCTTTCGTGGTCCACGATTTGGTATTTTATGATTGTGAGGAGCTAGGCTTAAACGCATGGAAAAAGGATCTTTATAAAAAGTTCGTCCTCGAGCTTTACAACCAGATGCGCCTTTGTACATACAACGCCAAGTAATTCCCGTGTTATGCTTCCTTTCTCTTGAATATGCATGACCTCTACAAAGAATTGCTTTGCTTCCAACTGCCGTTTCGTAATATTTCACCTTCGCATATTCTGGAAGGAAAAGAAACATTTTAAATTAGAGAAAATTTTAAAAAGCTTTTGCAAGTTATTAAGTGAAACATTAGAAATATTATTTTCAACAAGTTCTCTTGAGTTGTCAATAAATCTCGTTAATTTTATCGTCTTTTGCCGGAAACATTTTTATACATAAAATCTTTGCATTTCATTATTTCACTATTTGGAATAATCTTTCGTGGTCCAAGACGTGGTATTTTAATAACTTTATGGCTGTGAGGGGTTTTGTTTAAGCGCATGGAGAAAGGTTCTCCATAAAAAGTTCGTCCTCGAGCTTTACATCCATATGTGCCTTTGTACATGCAATGCCAGGTAATTCCCGTGTTGTGTTTCCTTTCTTTTGCAAACGGATGACCTTCACAAAGAATCGCTTTGGTTCCCAATGCCGTCTCATAATATTGGGCCACATGGAATTCGTCTGTAAAAGAAACGAATAAGAAAATTAATATAAATTCTACTTTCTATGCTGGAATTGATAAAATATGGAAACTCTGAAAAAAAAATAGAAATTGAAGTTGTTGATCAAAATGACACTTAGGTCAGAAGATTATTTATTACGATTAAATATTCTTTAATTACGAAAAAACTTTTTCTGGTTGAACTTGGCAAGTGATAAATATTCAGAACATTGCATAATTTCTGAGTCGGGAATTATTTTCAGATCTCTTTTTAAGATTTTGTGGCTGTGATTTGTTTTGATCATATACATGTACAAAGGATTTCCATAATAAGTTGTACCACGAGCCTTGCATTTGTGATTATTTTTGTTCATGCAATGCCATGAGATTCCTTTTGTGTTAGCGCGTTTAAATTGAAATGCTTGGCCATTGCAAAGAATCGCTTTTGATCCCACTGCTGTCTCATAATATTGCACTTTAACTTTGGTATAAAGATGCTCATCTGAAATTATAGAATTTGAGATAAAATTAGTTAATTGATATGAACATTAATTAGAAATCTTCAAAATATTTACTAACAATAAAATTTAAAACGTTTATCGGGTGTCAATCTTTATTGACTTTTGTAATAATTTTAGCTTCTGTTGAATTTATGTTTACTTCTCAAACAAGTGATTAGAATGTTTGATTTTTCTTGTCATAAACCATTAGTTCTGGACAGTTTAAAATTTCGGAGTTTGATAATATTTTCCTTTGTTTCGGGAAAACTCTGTGATTATGGGAATGATTAGCTAAACGCATAAAAAAAGGATAACCATGAGTTACTTGTCCACGAGCTCTACATTTAAATTTACTCTTAAAAACGCAATGCCAACTAATGCCTCTTGCGCTAACACTACTCTTAACAAACGCATGACCTTTACAAATGACTCCTTTCGTTCCGGATCCCGTCAGGTAATATTGAATCAGAACATTTTCTTGTCCTATAAATAAAAAAGAGTTTCAAAATTAGTCGTTGAAAAGTGTAAAAATATTTTGTGATTAAATTAAAATTTATCATCACAAATTTATGAATTCAACAATTCATATTCATTTTTATTTCCTTTTTTCGTCGTGTTGTTAAGATGAATGTTCAATATTATTCAATTTAAATGAATACAAATTCAATTTGTTTTAAAAAGCTCGGAGATAGGAAGAATCATAAGATCCTTGCTTTCCACATCATGACTGTGGAACTTTCTTGTCAATCTCATTACTAAAGGATTCGAAAAGCTTGTAATTCCACGAGCTCCACATCCATATTTCTTTTTAAACATGCAATGCCAGTTAATCGTCTTAGCAAATGCTTTCTCTTTAACAAAGCGATGTCCTTGACAAACAACTCCTCTTGCACCTCTCGCCGTCTCATAATATTCAATTCTCACTCGATCTGTTGAAGAAAAAGACAACAAAATATGTTAGAGAAATATTTCATAAATTTTTTTCTTTCTAATCTAACAGCTGTGGAAATGAAAGAGGAATTTGAAATTCTTGAATTAATTTTATTTCTTTACTTTTGTGTCTTGTAAATGCTCCGCTTTAATGTCTCATAAGCAGATTTGTCATGTGAATGATTATTTTGCTTATTATCAAGAACATTTAGTGTTCGATTTGTGACAAAAACTGCTTTACATTTATCACTGTTACTTAGAGCACATTTCCAAAAGATTTTATCGGAAAAGTCTTTCATTCTTGTATAAACATATCCATTTTGAGTAAGAACATTTAATTTAAGTCCTTGATTATTTGGTGTTCGTTGAATTTTTTCTATAAACGAGAAAACAGAAAAATTTTGTTAGAAGGATAAAGTTATTAAAAATAAATTCGAATCATGCTGAAAAAGAGTTTGAAATGAAAATTTCCACTCTAAATAAAATCCTAAATATTTTATTAATCAATCAATTTAAACTTGACGATTTGAATTAAAGAATATGATATAAAATTGGTAAAACGATGTTAGCATTTTATTCACCTTTGTCATAATTCATTATTGGAATTCCATCATAATTCGCAAATTATTTGCACTTTCATTCAAAATATAAAGCAGCTAAATTTTGGAAATAAATTTCTTCAATTAATATGCAAATTTTCCAATATTTACCTGTTCTATTGCTTGCATAAAAGATTGCAAATAATTTGCAAATTATGATGGGGTATGAAAATACTTTTTCAAGTTGAACTTAGCAAGTGACAAATATTCAGGGCATTCCACGATTTCTGAGTCGGGAATCATTTTCCGATCTCTTTTTACGATTTCATGGCTGTGCTCTGTTTTATTCATATACATGTGCAAAGGATTTCCATAATATGTTGTACCACCAGCTTTACATTTATGACTGCCTTTGTACATGCAAGTCCAATGGATTCCTTTTAAATTGGCGCGTCTATATAGAAATGGATGGCCCTTACAAAGAATCGCTTTTGTTCCCACTGATGTCTTATAATATTGCACTCTAACTTTTGGATGACGGAAGTGAATTCGGCTCTCATCTGAAATCATAGAATTTGAGACACAATTAGTTAAATGATATGAAAATTAATTAGAAGTTTTAACAAATTCATTGACTGTAATATATTAAAAATCACTTTAAATAAAATCCTAGATATTTTATTCCTTTCATCAACTTAAACTTCACCCCGCTTTCCTTATCACTTTTATTGATTATTTTTCGTCGTGTAGTTAAGATGAATGTTCAACATTATTCAATTTAAATGAATACAAATTTATTTTTTCTTAAAAATCTTTGAAACAGGAACAATCACTACGTCCTTTGTTTCCACACCATGATTGTGTTTTTTTTTTGTCAATTTCATTACTAAAGGATTTGAAAAGCTTGTAATTCCACGAGCTCCACATCCATATTTCGTTTTAAGCGCGCAAATCCAATTAATGGTCTTAGTTAAAGCTTTCTCTTTAACATAGCGATGTCCTTGACAAATAACTCCCTTTGTTCCTCGATTGTTCTCGTAATATTGAATTTTCACTCGATCTGTTTAATAATAAAAGGAAAAGATAAAATGTTAGAAAAATGTTTCATTAAATTTTTGAAAATGTTATTGAAGATTTAAATAAAATCCTAAACATTTTATTCTATTAATCAACTTAAACTTCACCCCGCATTCCTCATATTCATTTTTATTGATTGTTTTCGTCGTGCTGTTAAGATGAATGTTCAACATTATTCAATTTAAATGAATACAAATTTATTTTTTCTTAAATAGCTTTGAAACAGGAACAATCACTACGTCCTTTCTCTCCACACCATGATTGTGATTTTTCTTTGTCAGTCTCATTACTAAAGGATTCGAAAAGCTTGTAATTCCACGAGCTCCACATCCATATTTCTTTTTAAACGCGCAAATCCAGTTAATTGTCTTAGTTAATGCTTTCTCTTTAACAAAGCGATGTCCTTGACAAATAACTCCTTTTGTTCCTCGATTGTTCTCGTAATATTGAATTCTCACTCGATCTGTTTAAGAATAAAAAGGAAAGTTAAAATGTTAGAAAAATGATTGAATTTTTTTTTGAAAATCTTATTGAAGATTTAAATAAAATCCTGTGGACTGAATTGTAAATTTTTTTCGCAAATGTAGCTGCTTAAATTCAACTTGAAGAAAGTTATCTTGAATTATCTTCCAACATACTTTGAAGTTATCTTCAAAAGCTTCTAAAAATATTCATCAACACATTTTCAGATTGGTTTCTTTAATATTATTTTAAAATTTATTTCAAATTGTTATCTGACGACATCCCGCCGTCTTTCATTTCACGAAAAGAATTATCCAAGTAAATATCTCTAAGTTCATTCGGCATGAATTTCTCTTCATTATGTGAGTGAACATGAGTAAGTCGAATTGTTGGATCGCCGCATTCGGACTTTGATGTCACTGCCCCAGCTCGACATCCAAATTTAACGTAGCGATTGCATCGCCAGAAAATATTTTTCTGACTCTCACGATTCACAACATATTTGAAGCCTTCATAAACCAACATCGTTCGACCTCTTTGAGTTTTAGTAAATTGCATTTGAGCCGGCAAGAACATTGTATCTGTGAAAAGAAAAAGAAAAGCGTTAGAGAAAGTAAATCGATTTAAA